GAAATCGTTGACGATCGCACACACACACATACATCCATTTTTTCTAAGGTATGACAAAATGACCTTGAAACGTAAAGATATGCAAATATTTTTATTTTCGATTTTTTTACGATTACTATAACTTACCCTACGGGAAGTTAAAAATTCTTTGATCATTATATATGTCATTATTTTTTTAATTGATAAATCGTTATTTATTAATTACAACACAACTTAAAAAATATATAATTATTTTCTCTTAAAAGCATTCAAACAATTATGTTGCAGAAGATAAACACAGGCAAAGTTACAATATTGTTATGAAGCACATACAAGATTTAATAACGGTTCAATCAGAAAAATCTCTCAGTAGAAAATAAAACAAGCACTTCAAAGCTTTTTGCATATCCTTTATATATACAGAACTCTACACCAAGTCAATGGGGGATAATATCATTGATCCTAACTATAATAAAAAATTTTTAAAAAAATGCATTCTATGTAGTTAGAAAATTATAAGCTTTCAAATGCAGCCTGGAGCTCTGGTAAGACTGTGACCATTTTTTGAATATTCTGGCAGATTTTTATTAATTTTGTTGATTGAAACTTTGAATCCGTAATCTAAATAACATTTCTCGAACCACAGTCGAGAATAATGACATAATTGCTCCAAGTTTTCTAGAATTAAAATTAATTGTTGAACTATGAATTTAAAATTTTCAAAATTAGTCAGCATTAAAAGGCTTTTCAAGAAAAATGTAATAAAGTGTGCTGGCAAGTTCTGTCAAAAGTTCTCGTATTCAATCTAATTTGTAACATGGTGAAATATTTGATAGTTTCATAATAAAAAAAATCAAGTTCAAAAATAATAAAAGACATCATGTATACATTTGGACAGCAATAGATATTGAGAATTTATTTACTGAAAAGTTGTAAACTTTTATTATTAACATGAGAATTCTGGCGAGGTAGATGATTGTGATTTCACATATTTTCAATTTTCCTATAACAATAAGTTTTTACCGTATCGCACGTTGTCTAGTGGTTAGTATACCTTGCACTCACCCAGGAGGCCGGGGTTCGATTCCCCGCATGGGAATATTTTTTTATTTATTCACTAAAATTAAACAATTAATTCTAATTAATTGAATTTTCTACTAGGAACAATGAGCTTTTCTTATATCCCATGTTGTCTAGTGGTTAGGATACCTGGCTCTCACCCAGGAGGCCGGAATTCGATTCCCCGCATGGGAATATTTTTTTATTTATTCACTAAAATTAAACAATTAATTCTAATTAATTGAATTTTCTACTAGGAACAATGAGCTTTTCTTATATCCCATGTTGTCTAGTGGTTAGGATACCTGGCTCTCACCCAGGAGGCCAAGGTTCGATTCCCCGCATGGGAATATTTTTTTATTTATTCACTAAAATTAAACAATTAATTCTAATTAATTGAATTTTCTACTAGGAACAATGAGCTTTTCTTATATCCCATGTTGTCTAGTGGTTAGGATACCTGGCTCTCACCCAGGAGGCCGGAATTCGATTCCCCGCATGGGAATATTTTTTTATTTATTCACTAAAATTAAACAATTAATTCTAATTAATTGAATTTTCTACTAGGAACAATGAGCTTTTCTTATATCCCATGTTGTCTAGTGGTTAGGATACCTGGCTCTCACCCAGGAGGCCAAGGTTCGATTCCCCGCATGGGAATATTTTTTTATTTATTCACTAAAATTAAACAATTAATTCTAATTAATTGAATCTTCTACTAGGAACAATGAGTTTTTCTTATATCCCATGTTGTCTAGTGGTTAGGATACCTGGCTCTCACCCAGGAGGCCGGGGTTCGATTCCCCGCATGGGAATATTTTTTTATTTATTCACTAAAATTACACAATTAATTCTAATTAATTAAATTTTCTACTAGGAACAATGAGTTTCTCTTATATCCCATGTTGTCTAGTGGTTAGGATACCTGGCTCTCACCCAGGTGACCGGGGTTCGATTCCCCGCATGGAAATATTTTTTATTTATTCACTAAAATTAAACAATTAATTTTAATTAATTGAATTTTCTACTAGGAACAATGAGTTTTTCTTATATTCTTTTTCTTGATTCTAATTAATTGAATTTTCTACTAGGAACAATGAGTTTTTCTTATATTCTTTTTCTTAATTCTAATTAATTGAATTTTCTACTAGGAACAATGAGTTTTTCTTATATCCCATGTTGTCTAGTGGTTAGGATACCTGGCTCTCACCCAGGAGGCCGGGGTTCGATTCCCCGCATGGGAATATTTTTTTATTTATTCACTAAAATTATACAATTAATTCTAATTAATTGAATTTTCTACTAGGAACAATGAGTTTGTCTTATATCCCATGTTGTCTAGTGGTTAGGATACCTGGCTCTCACCCAGGAGGCCGGGGTTCGATTCCCCGCATGGGAATAATTTTTTTTTTTCTACTTTCCAAATATTGATGCACTAAAATTAAACATTTATCAAAATTTTATGGATACCTGCAAAAATTTTCCAAATTTGGTAAACATATTTCAATCAAACATATTTAGAGTTTACTGTACTTTCGAGATTCTATCGTTTCGAAATAATTTTTTTAAGTAAAAGGTTAAATTAAATTTTAACGGTTAATAGTTATCTTTATTTATACAAAACAGTTGAGTTCTATTCTGTATTACATATCAGATTACAAAATCTCTCAGAAATTTTCATGTGACATATATAAGTATAAAACATATTCATGACTAAAGTTCCATATGAAACAACAGTTTTCTATCTTAATAAAATATGCAATTTTCCATACTTAATTAGCAATCGAAACTATGAATTCTTAAGCTGTTTTGACGTACACATCTTAATCTAGTGCTTCTAAAAGACAACCCAGTAGTTGACCATTGACTTTCTGATGATATTATATTGGATATATTTAAAATGGTGATGTGAGTACAGATTGCAGCAATGACTGGAAAGGATTTTTTACTTGGTATCATATTATATTTGAGATACTCAATCAGAAGTGAAAATCCATAGCACGCTGCTTAATATCAAGCTGGCCAAAATCAATAACGAACCAGGAACATGTGGTTGCTGGACTGCATTTTTACCACAGAATCATAGGCGGTTTCTCACATTGATTCATAGTAAATGTGGTTATATTGCTTAGGATTTTCAACAGTGGTTTTCAATTCAAAGAAAATATTCAATTGCACAAAATATCAACGGATTAGGCAAATACTATTTTGTTTGCTTATATATATATATACAGCTAATAGCTACTGAAAATTTGATTGCATTGTATTAAAAATAAAATATCTTAAAATTTAAATTTGAAGACCAACAAACACTTATTACTTTAATTAATTTAGACAACAGAAAATGTTGTTTCACTTTAAGGTCTAGCTCACAGCAAAGTTTGAAAAATATCTTCACTCTTCTAACTTAGTCTCTAAAAGGAATGATAACTCTACAAATAATTTTATGCATTTTCTATTATATTACATCGTACATATTGACTTTTGCTTTTATCTTTAAACAGCTCGTTCTAGATTTCATCTATCAATTAAAATCACCATGATTTCTACCTATACTATATTTTGGATATTGTAAAGAATATGTACTATCTTTAGTTGGGTGACGCACAAGGGACATACGCAAACAATATTTTTCAATTTTATTTCAAATACTAGTTCAATTGATTCAAAACAGAAATGTTATTCTGAAACACGATATATGCGAAAATACATTTCATGACGAGAACTTGTAACCAATCAATTCTAAATCAGATACTTTTATGCGTAGCAACCATTTGTTCAATGTATCATTATCTACGAAAATATATTTCATTTATATTTTATTTTATCATTGCATCTACTGATTTTTGTATAGAAAAATATATGAACATAAAATAAATATGAAACAACGCCAATTTTAAAACAAATTTTAGTAAGCATTTATAATCGCCTTATATTTCCGTTAATATACTTTTCAAATATGCATAGTTATATAGGTAAAATTCTCAGAATAACAAATTCATACATTTCAACACCTTGATATGTAGCTAATTCAAATTGAAATTTAGGCTTGTTTTAGACATTTTAAGTAGGCACTATTTAGAAATTGCTAGTTTTTCTGTTATATGCAATAAACGCCAAAAATACACTCGTTAATTATATTAAAAAAATCTGTGAATAGTTTACTAGAATCTGAACTATATATGTTATCAGATACAATAATAAATATTGAAAGAACTATTGAAAGAAATGTCTTTCTAAAATACCATAAACTTTGCATCGTCTCTTTAAAGTTTCGTTTTAGAATGATGTAATGTTATCTACAAAATATGAATTTTAAGTAACTTTCGTAAAAACTATTTAAACAAGTTACACGTATTGTCTTACATAAAAATTAAGATATATTTTAGAACTTATTGACAAATTGAAATGTAATAATAGTAAATCCCATATATCACTAATCACTAATTTTTTGCACGCTCGTCTTCTACTGTTTGATAAAATTCTTAATCGAACAAAGATATTAATTCACTACTGTGTTTTTGTACCTATCTCTTTTTTCATACAAAATCATATTTTTTAATTTTCAACAGGTCAAAAATGATTCGGTCCACATTTTCACTTCTATATCCGCAATCGTATTTGACACAATTTCAAATACACAATTTTGCCATGGATTGAGACCTTATTGTTAGATATTTTGATTTGTTGTCTGAAAATTCATAACTTACATTTAAAAAAATGATTGAATGAGAAACTCAAAAGTAGAGTAAATTATTTTCAAAATGAATTAAAATTAAAATAAGGGAACTAAGTTTTGAACATTTTTGCAGGTATCGATAACGTTTTGAGAACGGTTTAGTTTTAGCTAAACTTCTATTTAATTGTTAAATTTTAGTGAATAAATAAAAAATCAATTAATTAGAATTAACTGTTTATTAATTTTCGTGCCTAAATATTTGAAAAGTAGGATAAAAAATGTAGGCCCACGCGAGGAATCGAACCCCGGCCTCCTGGTTGAGAACCAGGCATCCTAACCACTAGACAACATGGGATATGACCGAAATTCATTGTATTGCAATACCGTGGATAGAATTTCAATTAATTAGAATTTGCTGATTTTTAAACTATTTGGAGAATAAAATTGATAAATAAATTTTGATTTTATCAAACATTTTATTTATGTGGATAATTTTAATTTTTTATATATGTACTCAAAAGTTTATTTTTTGATATTGTTAATAAACCATGATTGCATTAGAAAAATTACAGTGAGTATTATAAACCAAATAACGTACTACATACGTTCAGTTTTATTTCATAATTATACAAGAAATAACTATAATTATTTTTTCAACTTTCTAAAGTACTAACTAAAGCAAAATGCCTTTTTTTCGAACAACATATTTAATATTTCTAATTAGTGTTTATACTCTCACTTGTACACAAAAAAATGATTTCAAAGAAACAAAACTATATTACATAATAACTGGTCACAAAGAAATTATTTGGTCCTCTTTCAGATATCAGCATATAAGCAAGTTTTGCAATAAATGCAAGCCATTTCTTATTACCGGTGGATTGATTTTTATTTAGAAGTAGTTAAAGTAAATGTTAAAAGCCAATCATTGTTTGACAGATTTCAATTTTGTTTTTTTTTGGCTTCGAATAAACTACATTGTAGTGCTTTTGAAAAATTATTATGCCATTATGTTCAAAAGTAAACAAACATTATTAAATAATAAAAATTCTTTTAGGCCTGATGATTGCAATAATATTGATCGAAATCACTAGTACCTGGTATAAGTTTATTGATTTCAATAGAAATAATTACAAATAACAATATGGCCCAAAACATGAGAAAACACCCTCAAAATAAACTTTTGAAGGTATGATATACGTTTGAACTGACGTTAAGACTGTGACAATGCGCTCAACATCTGACAGGATTGTGTTATGGCTTTCTAATTTATTTATGAATATATACCATTTTGTTCATTATTTATATATATATATATATATATATATATATATATATATATATATATATATATTACAGTAGAGAGTGCATATTAAAGTTACTTAGCACGTCTTTCGGGTATGACATAGTGGCCCGGAAGCTCATAGCCATAAACCACGTAGGAACCAACAGTAATTTCACGTGAAAGCTAGTTTGCTAGCTACGAAGATACAGTAAATTAGAAAAGTTGTATTTACATGACTGCAAAAAAGATAACTTGTCAGAATTTATATACAAACATATTCACATGATGATAAACGACCATATGGCGATATATATTAGACAGAGTTATAAGACAGCGATATTTTATAAGAAGCGAAATGAAGATAGAATAAAATTGCTAGATGAAGGTATGCAGATAATATAAAACTAGATGTGATAAATCAAATTGTTGAAAGCTCTAATAAATCAATATTATAATTTTTTTTAAAAAAATTTATATTGTATTATAATTTTTCTTTAATTTAATATATAATTTAATCTTTAAATTTTTTATTAATATATTATTTATTTATAACAAAAATTTTTGATCCAAAGTCTTGTAGATATATAACGTTCGTAAATGACGATTATGTATTCTTCATAGAAGTTAGAACCACAAAATATTATGTAGGTTTGCATTGTAATTATCCATAAACCTAGTTTGGCAATAAATGACAATTAAAAAACGCATAATACAACATTATCATTTATTGAAACTTAACTGAAGAATTTCTGTACTGTTTCGCTGTTGGATTGCAGTCGAAGTTGGATAAAATATTATTGATATATAAAAATTAACAAAAACTTATTAATTTATGAAAAACTCATTTAAATTAAATTTAATTAATATTAATTAATTAAAAAATATTAAGTTAAGAAAACAATATCTCCTTCCACAAAAAAGTTCTTTTTTGCATTATTTTATATAACACAAATTGTATCCCTTTTATCTTTGACACATAGGTATGTCTACATGTATATGGATGCATACACATATAAAATAATCAGATGAAAATTGTATATATTTTATTATCCTTATCTATTTATAAAAAGGGTTAAATCGAGAAGCCTTTACATTAAGAGTCCTTTTTGTTCCAGATATAGTAGAGAAACTAATGTAATTACTGAGATACGAGTACTTATTTTTTTGCAAGCGGTTATAAATTAATAATAGATATTTTAGAAACAATTAGTTCAAAATATAGTGTTGGAATAGAAATATTTCTATTGTATCAAAATACACATTTATCATATTATATGCAGTAACGATAATATAATATACCATGTACCACTTTTATATAAAATGAGTGTCTTTGAACTTAAACTATATAAAAACTTGACTATATAGAAATCCCAGTAGTCAAGGATCAGTATACTGTACGTTATTAGAAGTATTGGCGTCGAAGACTTCAATAATATATTATATATGTATAAAAAAATATAAAACACATACATACTAGTTTACTCACTATTAAGGTAATATAAACAACTGTCATCACATGAAGTGGCTTACCTGAAAATAAAAAAAATGAATTAGATCGATTTTTATTGTTAACATAATATTTTTATATGTATGAACATTTCTACACATACACACACTCAGATATATATATATATATATATATATATATATATATATATATATATATATATATATATATATAAAGAGAGAGAGAGAGAAAAGAGAGAAGAGAGAGAAAACTGGGTACGGTAGTGACAGTTGTCATAGCCGCTAAACCAATATCACAAAGATTTCTTGTCAACTATGTTTGAAAAATTTAGTTTTGTTATATATTGGTATATTAGCTTAGTAAAATAACTTTTTTGAACCAGTATTGCTGATCAAAAAAGTGGCACAACCGTACCCAGTCTTCTCTACTATATATATATATATATATATATATATATATATATATATATATATATATGGAAGAAAATACATTGTTTTTGTTAGATATTTTATATCAACTACAAGCAGTACAAATTATATTTATTTCGCACAATAGTACATAACAACTTGTAAATTAATTTTCCATATGTTTTACAGACCAATAACATCCTCCATTTACTTTCATTTTTTTATAATCAAAGTTTAATGTCTGCGATATTGACATCGTAAACTGTCTCAATAACAGCTTGCTTGTGCAACGCCATCAAGGATAAGATCGCGAAGGAACCCTGAATAGCTCCAAAAAAAAACGCGGCCTTATTGCTTCGATGGGCTCAAATCGGGACACGCGGAATAATAAAAAATCCAATTGCACGTAGGTCGAAATATTATTCTTACAATTAAATACATCAAACGCGATAAATAGTTAAATCAATAGCTGACTATTATGCATCGAATTTAATTAAACATAATCAAGATTGAAGATTAAAAATACAATTCACACCTAAAATATCTGTGTTGCTATTTTGCGTTTGTTTTTACAATTTGGTGCATGCCAAATATTTTGAAATAATGTAAATAATATCAACTAAAAATTCGATTGTGTTTGCTCGTAGGTGAGTGTTAAGGCTTACAACACCTGGATTCCGTGAGCCCGAATATCAGGATCCCGGACAATTTTTGTCCGGTATTCAATAGCGGTATTGATTTAAAAATACCTGTATTTTAGTATTACCAGTATTATGTTAAAAACCGAACTTACCTAATATGCTTTTAACTTCCCGTAGGGCAAGTTATAGTAATCGCAAAACAATCTAAAATGAAATTTTTTTATATCTTCACGTTTCAAAACCTTCTGAACATTTGGCATACCTTAGAAAAAATGGATGTATGTGTGTGTGTGCGTGTATGTATGTGTGTGCGGATACAAATTTTCGTCGACGATTTCGGGAACACAGATGAAGCGTTTTGAATAATTCAAAAAACATTCGATTCGTATTGATAAGGAGACGCGCTGATTAGTTTTTGGCAAAGGCAGGTCTAGCCATTCAAAAATATGGGGCAAAAAGTGCTAAAAACGGTAACTCAGTTTTTAAGGGAACGGAGCGTTCAATTTGAATAATTCAAAAAACATTTTACTTGTATTGACAAGATGAAAAATTTGTCAAACTTTCATGAAGGCAGGTCTAGCGGTTTCGGAGATGTAATAAAAAAAGGAAAAAAATGCTATCTGGCGGTTAAAAATGATTATTAGACATATGCACATCAAATTATCAGTTATTTACAGAGATTTTAACAATAAGTATATTTTTTTTACATTTCTATGGGTTCCGTACAAATGCTTATGCGTTAGTCGGCGGCGCGGCGCTTGCGCGCTTTGACATTTCGTCTCTATGCAGTTCAAGCAATACGATTGCTTTAAAAAAAATCCAGAAATTCAAAATATTTCAAAATAATTTTTTTTTCAAAAATTCTTTTTTTTCAAAAAAAAGTAAATTTTTGTCAAAAATTTATAGTTTCTTAAAAATATAATTTTTTCAGAGTAATTTTTTTCAAAAATGTTAATCATTAAAAATAAAATTGGTACAGGAAGTTCAGCACTTAAATCGAACTTACCCATATGTTTATATACATATTGATCCGAGAATGACTATCGATAAGCGCGTCAATCTCGGCACGCACGGCAAGACAAAGCGTTTGTTCATATGTTTCGGCATAAAAGGGTCCCTTATAAATGATGTATGCATCCACGAGCATCGTTGCCATATCAAATTCGTTTTCAATGATTTTTAAATATAACATACAATCGACGGGATATAATTCTTTATATTGTATATCTTCCTATAAATCATTCTATTTATTATTATTTTAACATAACAACATTCACTATGTCAAATCATCGAGTGATAAATAATTTGAGCAGATTCTGGAAATCGTCCATATTAATTATGATTTGAATATAATCTAAATACACTTCAACCTAGTACCAATTCATATCGAGTAACTAGTGGGGCGCATGACATCGTGCCTTAAGGCAAATTGCTGGTACTTCCCGTACCAATTTTTTTTGTTTTTTAAATTAACATTTTTGAAAAAAAAATTACTCTGAAAATTTTTTGACAAAAATTTACCTTTTTTGAAAAAAAAGATTTTTGAAGAATTAA